CTGTCTGGAAACTTCGCAATTGTCCCAGAAGGATCCATGAGCCATCTAACAGTATTTGATGCAACTGTGGGCTTGAAAGTCTTCCCATGCATTATTTTACATGACTCAGGTAAACAAAAGCAAAATTCGTTGTGCCATCTCAAATATGGTATCTATGTATTGTACATCTTTTCACCTGTGCAGATTCGTCTCTTAATTTTTTCTTCTCATTGTTTTCTACTAGAATCTTAACCTAGTGTTTTCCTAATTGTTTCAGCCTGTCAATTCTAGAAATGTTAATACGTAAATTGTATCATCATTCAATCCATCCCTTCAGAAAACGTATGCATAGATTCTTTAAGGTAAAAACACAAAAAGAAAGACTAACACTTGAATGAATAACAATAAATGATACCTCAAGTATTAGATGAAATTTGTTGATGAATACTATGATTTAAATTAATCAAACTTTTTAATATGAATACATAGAAGAAATAAATGCAACGTTAAGTTCAAAGATTTGATTAAAAAATTTATTTTTTTAATGTACTTGAAACACCTTACATTGATTGCAAAAGAGAATCTATTTATGAAGAACAATTTATAAAACTTTTAGTTAGTTCTGATGAGGGATCGATTGATCGATCGATCTACAAAAGTTCAGATGACCTAAAAATAGTCGTTGGACAAAATGGTCAGAAGTCGGAATGCTCAAATTTTGAAGTAGGCACATTAACCTTAATAATAAAGATTCCTAAAGTAGAAGTTTTAGAAGACTTATTTCCCTTCAAACTCGTGTGGAATGCCTTGCAGTTCCTTTTCTAATAAGCTTTCATTCCACAATGCTAGCAAGGGTCAACAGACTTGATATTGCCCTTTTTTGCTTTGATTGCCTTTTTGTTTGTCTTAGCCTTCTTGAATGCATTCCCAAAGCTTTCTTTAAACTTCCTCCTAATGTTCTCAGAGGAATTAATGGCCAAAACTAGACCTAATATCAGCATTAATATTGGGATCCTTTGATGCTCGGGTTCGGGTATGGGTATCGAGTATGAGTACTATCTAAGTATTGAATCTTTTATTTTCTAAAATATAAAAATACGAGGACGTGGCTAAAAAGAGTTCAAATTTCAGACACGGGTACGTGAGTACGTATTTTAAACTTCAATTTTTTAGTGACCCAATATGTCATTTTAAATAGACCAAAATTAATTGTTCATAAAGAAGGAAATTAATATTGAATAAGGGATTAAGATGAATAAAATAGAATTTTGGGGTTTAGTTTTCAATTATGAAAAACTAATTATTAAATGTTATATAATATAAAAATAAAGGACTTGATTACAATTTGGATTTAGTGGAATATTAAATAGCACTATATGGAACCAATTTTCATTTTATATAAAGAAAACCTAAAACATTTATACAGAGAGGAAAAGAAGGAAAAAAAGAAGAAAAAAGAAAAAGAAGGAAAAAAAATAGCGTCATCGCCTTCAACTACCTTCTTGGCAGTGGCGCTAGGTTTACAAGAGTAGAAATGGGAAAGAAAAAAAGGGAAAAAAAAAAAAAGAAACAAACAAACAAACAAAAACGGCGAATTTTTCAGTTAAAACTTGAAGGACGCGACATAAACATATCTCATATACATATTTATGTCGCGTCGACATGGGTATTTCGTCCATTTCGAAGAGTACGAGCATCAGAGTTGGGATTAATAGTCTTAAGCAAATTCAGCAACTTAGGAAGAGTTTACTCGAACTTATTTATGTTAAAATTCATAATAAACTATGTATATCTTACTTATAAAGATTGTAGAATGAAACCAATACTTAGTTCATAGTCCATTACTGAATTCAATTGAGCTAACTTATCAATGTAGCCAATCATCTTCAGTACATGAGTATGACTGCAGATCCTTCCGCTATTTTAAGCTCACAGCTCCTTGTCTTTACACATCTTGTGTTTTAACTTGATTATGTCTCTAAAATTTATCTTTTAAGTGTATTCAACAAAAGATATATTTTAGTTAAGTCAAATCCACTATTTAAAAATATCTAATTTTTTATATTGTCAAATATATCCATAATATATCAGTCTTGAGTATACTCAACAAGCTGACATCGATGAGGGACTCTCATTTTTCATTATAATGATTAAAGGCAAATTATAAACTTGGCATAATATTGTTCACGAGGGGTTCAACATGCAAATGTCTCATCATAACTATTATGTATATATTTTATCATGCATCTAATATGCAAATAAACATACATATAATAATGTGAACAATTATGAACTTAATTATCTAGCCTTCTCGAGCTAAAAGGAAGAATAATTAATTAGTTCCTGGGCAATATAGTATTGAATTATATAGTGCTCTATCTCTATGTTCACAACCTCTTATAGCATCTTTTTTTAATCCAACTACAACATATCCTATGATAGTTGGCACATAGGCCCGTAAATAATAGTAGCGAACTCCCAAACTCAAAATTAGTAAATAGCTTGCAAGTCCAAAATTAATAAAAAGTTTGCATACCCAAAACAGCAATTCAATATTACATCCACATGGTTGAATCCATATCCATTCAATAAGCATATATTCATCATATAAATGCATTCATATATAATATATAATATTTTATATAAATATATTTCAAATTTCTGGCAATTAAAATCATCTAAACTAATTTAGACAAATAGATCGGAAGAATTAAATCGTCAATTGATCAATGAACTAATTAGCTAATTTATTTAATTAAAATCAAATTTTAGTCAAATACCAAATTAGAGTTCAACTATAAGAGTGTGTTTGATTGGTTTTATTTTCCATGAAAAATGTCATTTCCTCATCCAAATTCCTATTTTTGGGGTTGTTGATTGACAATTTTTTTCATAAAAAATATTTTTCAACTTTTGGTTATGTAACCATATTTTCCTCAAAAATAAGAAAAATATTTTCTTGGTGATTTTCATTTTCCAAATAATTCACCCTCTCTTTCTCTCTCTCATCTACCAACCATTAAAAATGAACAAATATAATATTTTTTAGGTTGAAAACTAAATCAATCAAACACATTTATGGTATGTTTGAGCCACTTTTTCGTATAAAATGCATTTTGGAATAGTAAATTGATGAAGAATGTATGGTTAAAAAATAGGGAAAAATTTTAAATTTGTGTATAATATTATTTTATTGAAAATATGTGATTGAAAATAAGAGAGAGAAAAATGTATTTTGAAAATAATGGGTGTCAAACAAGGACTTAATTAATAATTTTTATATAAATTAGTTTTAGGCAATTGAATTGCCTAAAATTTATTTTCTTTCCATGCAAATTTCATACTTGCAATCAAACGCGTCATAATATTTTAATTTATGATAAAACTCTTAAACAAAATATAATTCAATTTAGGGGTAAAAATAAAATTTTAACTGGGACAAAATTAAATCTAAAATCAACCCTAAACTCTAAAAGAATTTAGGTCAACGTCAGCAAATCTCAACGATTTGTAGCTGCATAGGGTACATCTTTGCGACCGACGAATGTTTCTACCTCCAATCGCTGCCATCCCTTGCTACCTTTCGACCCATCTCTGATAGCACTATTAGAAATTTACTTATGAACACAAAACGAGATTTAATATAAATTTCAATTCAATTCAAGGATCGTCTTTGTGTTTAGATAGGAATCGGGATAAAATTTTATACATTTGGCAAATTCTTCAAACTATATTGAGAATCTTAATCACGAGCAGTCATGATCATTGATCCTCCTTATCTATCTTCTTTCCTTATGGTTGTCCAACTTCCAATGGTAATACCACGAGATGATAAGAATGAGAGATTATAATTTCTCTTTCTTATACTAGTAACATTATGATAATCTAATGTGAGTTATGAAGTGTACTAATGAAAAATCAAACCCTAATTATTTATTTATAAATGTGTAAGTGGGCTTGAACACCAATAAAGAATTCAATTAATTAATTCTATAAATGTCAAACACTTGTCAATTAATTAATTCTTAATATTATTTTTTTAATTCTCTCTTTTATGTGTGACCCATTAGGTTTTCTATCACGGTGTCGGATGATGTGAATTATTATTTTAATCTAATCAAAATAAAATAAATTAAAAATTGATTAATTCACATAGCTTAGTTAATTCATTGTCCGCAATTAACATTTAACAATATATGAGGACAACATATATGAGGAAAAATATCACTTAATGTGATAAAACAAAAGTTAGTTTACCATGAAACTATCATCCATTCAATATGATTCAATTAATTACAAGATATGAAGATGTGCCATTCTCAATCGATCATATTTTTCATTCCACTCTTAAGTCAATAATCATCGAAACTCTTTTCTTGACTTACATACTTACCTTAACTAAGGGTTTCGATATCAACTTAAATGAATAAAATATATATCATAATCTCTTATTATCTAATAGCTACGAATCCTCTATTGATTATTTGCAATTTTCATATGACCGTGGACGTACTCAAACAACGTAGTATTAGCGGCTATTGACAGAGCAATATTCAAATAACTAAAGTATGATTGTTCTTATATAAGGTACTATTATGACCTCAAATCGAAAGATTAATTCCACCACCAAATGTTAATGGTTATCCACTGACACTTAAATAGTTATTAATGTGGAATCTCTTCAATGGATTTCTAATGTTTTGTTCTTTTATTAAAACATATACGCATCCATTTAAATACCACTACAGTATTTTAATTTGAGAGATTAGCTACTCACTTTATAAATGAGAACACGTGTTGATCTATCCGTATCTCACAATCACAATTCTTTGTAATTAATAAGTTATCAAAACTTGAATATACAGAATCTATTAATTTAGTATATCAGAATAAAAATTCAATTAAATAATTAATCTACCATAAATAGAAACACATCACATTAAAAGTGCTTATGTCCAAAATCTTTTGGACTTAGATTACAACAATTATACAATCGGGGAAAAAGGTACATATTTTTTTGTTTAACAAACCCAATACCCAGCAAAAATGAATACACAAAAGGCGACGATGGATATGATAAAAGCAAAACCAGCTGTGGCATCCCAAGAGCTCCCAGATGCTACTTCGACGTACGTAGAGGTGCCAGTAGTTACGTTCAAAGGTACCCAATCACAGTTCACAGTATAATGCCCAGAACTGTTCCATGGATTTCCATCAACAGGGTACCAGAAGGCAGCAGAAAATTTGCTTGATTGGCCTATTGTAAATTGTACATCCTGCAGAAAGGAAAATGAAGTTATCTTTAGTACCTTCAAAGCATTCAGAACCTGGCCAAGACAATAAATGATAAGTAAATCTTTTAACTAATTAGTCGAGTTGTCCATCAGAGGAAGTTATTAACATCATTCCCATTTTAGCTCTTCGGAAGTCTCGGATCGCATCATCCTTGCCCAAAACAAATTGAACATTTTGGTTTCAAAAAATGTAGGCCTTTTTTAAGCAACCACAGTTCGCATATTTTAGTACCATATATCGAGTTTGTCACATAATGAAAGTTGAAAGGCCAGCAATTGAGAATTCATAATTTTATTATCAATTTTGAAAGGTGACTCTAATCTGCAAGCAATACACAAAGAATGCGCACAAGAAAGCAAGTAGAGAAGAAACGAGCAACTGAAAAGACAAAACAACCTGCTGAAGATGATCCATGGTTCTCATGGGCCTGGTGAACTCAAAGTAGTATGTGCCCTTCTCACCAGGTGATGCATAAGGACTATCTTCCTCAACAAAACCTGTCAGTCGAGGTTAATAAGTAGAATCATGCTAGAGTGCCAGAGAGATTAATATAATATCAAATGACATTCTATTATTATTAGATTGTTTAAAATAGAGTCTACTTTTCCATCAAATCAAATCTTCCCAACACCCATTATGTCAATGCATCTATCAACAGCTTTCTGGCAAAGTGGTTTTACCCAAATAAAGACAAATAAGAAGTAAAGGTTCCACGCTTACAAAAACATCATAAGTATTATTATCAAAGACATTGGAATTATCTTAAGCCCTGTTTGACAGGGCATTATTTTCCATGGAAAATGGAAAACAAATTTCAACTTCCACTTTTGCATTGTTTGATACCCTTTATTTTCCATGGAAAAAAATTGTCACATTTGGCTCACATGCTCACCAATTCCTTGGTTTTGTTCCATTTTTTTTAAACAATTAGAAAATTTTTTAGATACAATGTTAAAAAAATTTATTACTTTTATTAACAATTTTCATACAAAACAATGCCAAACGAATGGTATTCGGTATGGTAATTTTAAAAAAAAAAAATTTTTTTTTTTTTTGGCAAGTGAAACAAATTATAAACCCAATGGTAAAGGAAATTATCAATTTAATGGACAATTTTCATGAAAAAGAAAGTCAAACGGATATCAAACTTTCAACATTCTTCAAGTGAAAAATTATACCAATCAAACACAATTAATTACAATTTTCAGTAAAACAATTTCTGTGCAATTCAATTCTCTAAAATTCATTTTCTTTCCGTCCATTTTCCACATTTACAATCAAACGGACCCTTACCGTCTAGGAATTGCCTACAAGAATAAGCTACGCCTTACCTAGTTAAACTTGGGGCTATATCCATCCTTTTTCACAGCTTTAATTCTATAATTCCAAACTGAATCTCTGGTCTCTTTTAAATATACTTTAGTTCATGCTCGATCACTCTGTTTCATGAGGCCATAATTTCATATTAATACACAAAATTCTAATACTTCTTTACTAAACAATCTTGAAGACCACCTCCATTCTTTTAAATATACACTATATCACTTCTCCTCATTCCTCGAGATTTTTTTACTCTCTACGTTCTTTGTTAGAATTTGGGTGTGATCCGAATTCCTTGTTGAAATAATTGAAAAATTCTAATTGAAGTGCACGTCATAAAGAATTCAAATTTGGAATATTATTGGAATCCTTCATATTGAAGTTCTATTTTGGAAGTCCATTGGGAGTTGAAATTTATTTTAGAATCAATTTTATGGTATCCTACTTCATCAACAACTTCACTAAGTGGGTTTGGACTCTCCTACTTATTCCCTATAAATATTAGGCTCTTCTATACAATTTTATAATGTCAGAAAATAGATTACTAGAATTATAGGATCCATTGTAATTTTCTCTCTTCTCCATTATTCTTGAGTCAATAAAATCTCTTAATTTATCTGTCATATTCTTATCTTCTTTATTCTTTTGTTTGATCAAATATTTTATTATTATTTGTCATATAACTTCAACATTTGAATCCGTTGGTTTGTTCCACAACAATTGGTATTAGAGTTATTCTGGTATCTTGATTGTTTTGCAACAATCTTTTTGTATATTTCATCAACCATAAAATACCCATCTTACTCAGACATTTCAATGCTTCATTAAAAATTCCGTTCATACCAATTGTTTTTCTCATCTTCACCTTTTCCATAGTCTCCCTCAAATATGAAATTTGATTTGTTCAAGTATGGTCAACATTTCTATCTTCAATAGAGTTCTCTAACTAGGAGAAAATATACGAAAAATATATTTTCATTATACAAATTCTTTTATGACAGCTAGAATCAATTGGAAATGCAAAAGAAGATAGTGATGTATTGCAGAAAAAAATATTTATCTAGAATAGTTTAGATATGAAAACCTCTAGATTACCATTTGGACTTCGAAAGAGGAAGCAGAAAGATAGAAATGCAGATTTTATTTACTTTGTAGTAAAATTAAGTCCTTTTAACCAGGATACTCCAATCCACCTCAGTCTTTGTCGGAAAACTCGATGAATTAACAATTCATATAGAAACACATAATATTCACCTGAATGGTTGGCGAAACTGCTATGCCACCATGCACCTTTCCAGTCATTCATTGCTGTAGATTGATTTCCTGAGGGGAAACAAAAAAAAAAAAGGACAAAAGCTTTTAATTACACGTGCTTTTGGTCCACGAATGGTAACATCCTTATTGTATATGAGTATTTATGACCAGCTGAAAGCCTGAAAAATGTTTAAAGCAAACTTTCCTAGCAGCAATTTATAATTTTTTTTTCGCCATAGGATAAGAACAAAATCATACATAACACAAGCAACAAACTCTTAATTCAATAATTCATGGCATAAGAATGAAAGTTTAGTCCTAATTCACACTACAAGATTAAAAACATTAATCAATTAACAGAAGATCAGTTTCTAAAACGTTCCGTGTCATCCCATAAACACAAGAATAATAAGAAAAAAACATATTAATGTCCTGTTTGAGCCACATTATTTTTTTCATTCACATTCTTTTACTCATTTTTAACACAAATTTTTTCAATAAAATAATATTTTCCATCATATCAAAAACTTTTCTTTCTTTTTCAATCACATATTCTCCATCACATTAACAGTAAAATGCATTCTTTTTTCAAAAATGTGCACCAAACGGGGGGCTAAAAAGAAAAATCCAATACCCATAATCAAGAATAAGAAATCAAAAAAAGCAATCAAGACGAAGAAGCTATAATCAAATATACCCAATTCAAGATCCAGAATCAAGATTCGATATTAAAAAATCATTCCCAATGAATCAAGGTATATTCCACACTTTATAATTCTCTTGATGATTTGACCGGATGATCTTGACAACATGGAAAGAGTTTTCAAGATTTAAAGTTCTATAAAATGTCTATCAATTTTGAGATATCAAAAGTACCTGTGGAACCAACGCCGTCAAGGCTTTTACAGTGTGGGTTCAAAGCAAACATATCAACCAAATCAACGCTGTTCAAGAGAATTCAAATAGTATGTGACATCCACTATTAATTAATTTGTGAATATCTGCACCAAATAGTTTACCTGTCACCACTGTTACCATATCCCATTATCGGGTTTCCGCCATACAGTCTTCCTGGGATAGAATTTCCAATGGAGAAATGCATGATGTCAACTTCATGACCACGACATGTCTTGTTGTTGCATGTACCAGGCATTTCTTCACATCCACCCATCTTGTTTAACAAAGCCAAACCCATTTCAGCACACAAAGGTATCAAATAATTAGGGAAAGTCGGAGATTGCAAAAGGGGATGAAAACCATGTTTGGGAAGTGTTTCTAAATAGTTTAAATTATGAATAGTTATAAATGACTGGTGGATAATTTGGTACTATTTATGTTCCCCCGAAATATGAATAAAAGTGGCTTGAGTGTTTTTAAAACCATGGACGGATGTATAGGAGCAGGTACGATGGTATCCCGAATACAAATAAAAAACTGTGTATTGGATTAGTGATCGATTTCTAGGTTTCGTTGTAAACCTAATTGGGTTACTTCCAAGTTAATTTTAATGTGGCCGATTTTCCCTCTATTGCAATCAATTTCACCACAGCACCCGCTGCTCTAACTAATTTTCCATGAGTAATCATTTATTAAATTTAAATGGGTCATTTTTCTTTGGAGAAATCGAATACATGAACGAAAGAAGCAATGTTTTACGAAGTTTATAAACATAAGCTAACAAAACTTTCAGTTTCCTTAAACAACTTACGTCATGATATGAAGCGCTCTCGCCAACTTGGAACATCAGGGCTACTGATGGGCATTTATAGTGATCTCTGCAGAATCATTTGAAGTTATTGTTTACGAAAGTAAGCTTGCTTTAGCTAATAAAGCTGCATTGAGAATGAAACTGAGCAAATATGTACTCATGGAATTAAACAACCCAAATGTATATTATTGAGCTAGTTATCACACAGTGGTTAACTCTATGTTTCTTTGGTTTTTATCTGAAATAATGATGAATGTGTTCAAAAGAAAGTTTAGTTATCCTAATGTCTATTCGTGTATGATGGAGTATTGGGATAACATGCTCTACAATAGAGTGGTTTAAGAATTAAATTTTCACTCCTTGATATAAAGTTATAGCATAGCGTTTAGGGTTTGTTTGAACCCCATTTTTTGGGAAGATAGGTTTTGTAATAGCGATTTTTTAACGAATGTGTAGTTAAAAGTAGGAAAAAAATTTGATCTGCGAGTATAATTATTTTATTGAGAGAATGTGTAGTTGAAAATGAGTTTAAAATAAGAAGAATTTTCTAAAAATTTTGATTTGCGCGTACCATGAAGTTCAGCACACGCTTAATAAGATTGTAGTAATTTTCTAAATTTAGTCATATGTTATCAAACTCACACTACAACTATGGATATAGACAAATCATGCTACAGTGATATAATGGTTAACACAATGATTGATATAATGCCACGTGACGTTCTACCATAGCACAGATTAAAACACCGTCACATTTTCCATACAATCACAAAATGCCACACTTCTGTCAAACAATCTGGCACAATTCTTCCATTAATGTGGCATTTTCCCTGAAATGTCAGGCAAGAAAGAGTAATGTTATTCATCCCCAGTGGGGATGAAAATACAGTTTAGGTAGTTTTAAATGATAGGTTAAATGAAATGTGAAATTAAATGACTTATTTAATTTCACATATCATTTAATGTCACATTAACGCCACGTAGACTGTGTTTTCATCTCCAGTGGGGATAAATAACATTACTCGGCAAAAAATTGGGTATAAATATCAAAACTTTTATTGAGGTAGCCTTATTTCATCTAAATGTATTTAAATTAATTTTCTAAACATATTAGTATAGGACTGCATATATAGAGACACAAAAAAGTTAAAAGGAAAAAATTGTTGAACAAGGAACGCTTCTCAAACGTAGAAGAAGAATAGGTTGAAATTTGATTTTGGGGGGGGGGGGGGGGGGGGGGC